GTAGTAGTAGTAGTACAAGTAGTCGTCGTCGTCGTCGTCGTAGTAGTAGTAGTAGCAGCATGAGTAGTTGTTGTTGGTGTGGCCCAAAATTCAAGTAGAAGCAAGAAGTAGAAGCAGCAGTGCTTCAGTTGTTCTAAGCAGACTGCGTGCCTGCGTATGTCAGCACCCTGCAGGCCTTTGCTGATGGCCTCTTAGGTGCCGAAGGTGCTGAGTATCGGCCTTTGGCGATCGAGGTGCTGGGATGGGCGGCAACTTGTGGACAGGGCTGTCATGACGAACGAAAGCACTTCTGTTCAGTCTCTTCCGCACTGTAGCCAGGTCGTTTCAAGAGCGTAAGGCAGCTGACCTGACACGGAAACCCACTGTAAACCGCAAACCCTAAACCCCTAAGCTCGAAACCCTAAGCCCAATCTCATTCAGGCCCTCCTCCGAGTACGTCTGGAAGTGTGCGTACTCGAGTCCTTTGTTTACGAGGCAGGAAGCCTGGAGAAGGAATTCGCTGTGCTCTTCACGACACTCCTAGATTTGCTCTGTAACATAACCTCCGAGGTGGCATTGTCGGTACATTGTTTGGGTCGAGGGCAAGATAAGAGCGATGTTGAAATGGCAAGTTTGCTCACGATTGGTAGGCTTTGCTATGAATGCGTGTTTCCAAAGACCTGTTAGTATGAGAGCAGAACATGTGGAGACTTTCAAAGTGCAAAGAACTGTAAGTGGTGGCCCTAAACCGCACAAGCTCAACCCCAAAGCCTGAAAACCTAAACCCCTAATGTAGGGGCCCAAATGATTACCAATACTATTTGTGGGGCTCCTTAGTATATTTATAGTATAATGGGCCCCAAGACCCTATTCTAATTCTTAAGGCCCCTATATTAACTGACCTCCAGTAAGTAGGGCCTTGGAAGTGAGCAACGTGTCCTCTACATGCCAGCAGGCCATCATCCCTTTCGTCGAGCGCAAGGGCATAGGCTGGGTCTTGCCACTCCACGCATCTTGGACTGGTTTTAGGGTCTAGGGTTTAGGGTTTAGGGTTTAGGGTTTCACATCTTGGACTGGACTGGAATTGGATTGTGCCGGAGAGAAGCCAGTAAGATGAAGGGTTCACCTCTCAGGAAACCATAGACACGGTGATTGCTGGAACGGTCTTCGCTGTGGCGCTGTCACCTGACTGCAGCAAAAGATATCCCACAAGCCAATGGTAGCGATGGCGCCGATCGAAGCATTCTCAGCATCTTCTGCCGGGACCTACACAAGAGCCTGCCGCATTCGGTGCGCAACGTTCATAGCCACACGATGTCCAGGAATTTCATCCTCTTTGGCACGACAAAGATCCTGTCAGTGTTGGGGATTTATCACGACATCTTGGTGACTTGGCGAGAAGCTAAGACTCTAAACCCTAAACCCTAAACCCTAAACCCTACATTAATTGTGCACCCAAATCAAGGCTGCACCTCCAAGCCTGGATCAAGCTTCCATGATGAGCCACATGCCTTCGGAAGAGAAGAGAATGCGGCAATTTATAGCATGTGATATAGGTGCGTCCCTCCAGCTGGAGCAGACCTTGCAATCAAACATTCCAAAAACAAAGTCATGGTGGTCATACCGCCATTCTGTTCGCACAGCTCTTACTCCATGGAGTGACGTGTCTTCGAGTATTGACATACTTTATCGATTAGACAGTGAGAAGAAGAGCTCTGAATTGTGCACCACCGGATGCACTGCAAGGTACTGATACCAGCAAAAGGCTCAGCACACGCTCTAGCCCTGTAGTAGCTGTTCGCTTTGAATGCTGACATGCCACTTTCACACATTGGTGACCTTCTTGTATGGACGTGCCCATGCGAAACAGGCATGGCAGGTGCAGTGCAAGTTCATACATTACAAGACATGTCACTAGAGGCTGGTTGTACATTGGAGCCTTGGCTCCTCGCACCAGGATGTTTCCGGGTGGCTCAGTCATTAAGCACAAGTCGCTACAGATACAATCGCCGTTTGCACGCGTCCCCAAAGCTCTACCCGAGCCCCGCATGCACAGCTCGTTCCACATAGCCTTGAAAAGCAAGCAACGGTTCTCACGGAAAGCGTCATCGACCAGGGATTTCTGTTCTATTTACTCTGTCCATAGAGCCATCCTTAGGCAAATCTTTGGACCAGCTTAAATTCACAGGGTTCATCCTCGGAGCGTCCAATCTGCTCACTCTGACTTTGGCTTGTCAGATTGGCACACCTTTGCGGTTAATCGGCTTTGCCATTCTGCCAGAGAAGAGGCGCCTCATCCGCGTGAGCACGAAAATCTTTCCTGTATGTTCGGTGCACCAAAGCTTTCGGAAGGCGGCAGATTGGGTTCGACGTTTCCTGAAGACAGAACGATAGCCACTCCCTTGCAACGAACCTGGAACTTGCAACCAAAAGCAATCGCGACAAAAGACTTTGGCAAGACTGCTGAATAATAATTGAAGTAAGAGAAAGAAAGCAAGGATAACCCGAAAATCGAAACATGAATGTGGCTACAAGCCCAGATTTCCGCAGCAATGTCGACAGGCCGAAAGAGACGCCTCTGATTCAGATCAACTGGCCCGGCATGCCTCCGCCGAAGGAAGAGGAGGAGCCGTTTAGGATTTAGAGTTTGGGGGCTCGATCAAATCAAAGGTCGAAAGGCGAAGTCCAGTACTTTGCCACCGCCAACCCACTCAAGTTGCAGATTCAATGGCTGACCACCCTCTCCACTTTCAGCTCTCGGAGATGTTCTGGCTCTGGGCGATGCACTCTCTGATTTAAATACTATTCTTGCCACTTCTGTGAAAATTAACCTGGCCCGATACTTCTTCTGGCTCGTCATTGTTGCTGCTGTTATCACTATTATCAACAGAGCAGCATTATTCTCATTGTAACACGTTGCACACTCGTAGCGCCCTTATCTGCAAGCATTGAAGAAACGTCTCTCAGCCAAACAAAAACCCGAAACCCTAAACCCTCTTGAAAACAACTCAAGACCCTAAACCCTAAACCCTAAATCCTAGACCCTAGACCCTAGACCCTAAACCGAAACCCTAGAAGGAACCCGAAGAGCCTCGGGAGCCACCGTCAGCCCCCCTCGCCATTTTCGGCGGCATTTGCAAAGGCCGGGATTTATGGATTTCCTGTCTGGGTTCTGGGTTTAGGGTTTAGGGTTTAGCGTTCAGGGTCTAGGGCTGGCTAAACCCTGAATCTGAAACTTTAAAAGCCCAAAGCCTCCTAAAACCCCAAGTGGAAAACCCTAAAGCCACAGCACGGGAAACCGTGGCATGCGTTTGCCTCAGTCGGGCAGGCTACGGAATCTTTGCCGGTATCCTGAAGGACCCGTGGGTTCCTCTGCTGTGCACGAAAGCAAGACGGGTAAAGTTCTTGAACATCAACATAGACAGATACCTAAACGCAAACAGAAGACGAATGATGCCAGGACTTCTTGGAGGGTGTGGACACCTTTGCGGGGAGATACCTAGCTTTCTTCAGCATCCTGTATGTGGCCTTCAAATGGGTGCATTTCAAGCTCTTCAATGATTTCCCGCCCTTCTAGGCTAGTTGGGGCAAAGAGCCCCACGCGTGGTTATGATGTCACTCCTTTCTTGCTCTCCCATTTGCTACTTCGCATCGGAGACTTACTTGTCACGATGGAACAAGAAAGGTTGTGGGCAAAGCAACGGACGAAGTGCCAGGACTTTCATGGGGAAAGAGCAGAGCAGCCTTGTGCCCTAAACCCTAAAACCTTTTTGTATTTCGAAAGTGGACGAGGTTTATGCCTCTCCACCCAACATTGTTGGGTCGTCGTCACCAAGTCCTTCTACTGGACAAATTCAAACAATAAACGATACATGTACTTGTTTTGTGCACACACATATATAGATATATAGATATACAGAGATACATATATATATATATATACATATACATGTATTTAAAAACGTATCTACGAATATCTGTACATACGTATCATGTTCTGCCACATATAAACTCCAAGGTTGGTTGTTGCTAAATTCCTTTGAATATCAAGAAGTATATGAACGAATTAAATGGCTTTTCGATATCTTTTTCAATCTCGGAAGAAATTAGCCTTAAACCCAGATCCTAAATCCTATTAGGTAATCAGTTGAGTCGACCTTCTTGGCCGCTTGTTGTCAAATCGACCAGTCGGGGCGTACCGGTGGGAGTTATCGTGCAGACCTCGCGCGGTGTTTTACGCAGAACGGTGCTTGCACGCTTGGCTTTTGGGGATTTAGGCCTTAACTATGGAAATCCTTGATCTCCGGTTGTGCGTGCACGGTCATTTTGGGTTGTGGCGCGGGGATGTGCGTTGGGTTTATCAACGGGTTGTGGCATGCGAGAATGGCTTCCAAAGGCATGATCGGTTGAACATCCTGGGTTGGCCTTGCCCGTTTGAGTACAGGTTGCGAAGAGCAAGCACAGCATACCACTCCTTTTTGTGTATGGTTTTTACATCACTTAATGGGAGACTTTGTTGCTACGAACCGATGTTGTATGTCGGGCGGCGGTATTACTTGATATCAAGGATGGGCATACAATTTACAAACATATGGGTCGATTCCAGGCATATATTAGTTAATAATACTATTTCTGACTTTCGAGATATTATTTACAGATTTATTTTTTATATGGATTTATGCTATGAATATCTACATGTATATGTATTTATATATATATAGAAAAATCTGAATAAAAGATTGAAAACTATGCAATTTAAGAAAAAGTACTTCGATTTTTCGGTTGATTCAAATAATTAGGAAGAACATAATATGGATCTTATATTTAGATTATTCTTCTTATTTTTCTGATAAATTTTAGTTTATGTTAGATATGCATTAATATGACGTTTCTTATATAAAAATAGAGACAATTCTTTAGATACAAGAGTTCGAATTAGAAAATCGATAATGATTTTTGGATAGGCGATTTTATTCTATCAGAAAATATTTAGTTTTTGGTAGATGTAGACCCCGGTTTCGAAATTATTTCCACAAGCTCTGGTCGCGGGAGCAGAAAAGGGATGGTATTAAAGATGAAAGATAAACAATAATTAGCGAAGGGAGGCAAAATAAATACTTGAAGTTAGTTAGAGTATTGCAAATCTGAATGATTGATGATTTAGATAAGTCTATATAATAAGAAGATTTCATATTGAGAAGTATTTCTAAATGTTTCATATATTGAATCATATAAAGTTGTAGCATATTATGGT